TCAGAATCACACGACACCAGGTTACAGTCCAACAGGTTTATCTGAAATCACAAGCTTTTGGAGCGCTGCTTCTTCGTCAGGTGAGCGGAAGCCTGTGATTTCAAATAAATCTTTTTGTCTATAACCTGGTGTCGTGTGATTTCTGACTTTGTCCTCCCCAGTCCCACATCTCCACATCATGGGTACCCGGAGTAGGAGAGAAGGCGACAGTGTGTACAAACAAGGTAAAAAGGTAAAAATTAATGGCTCTTTATTTGAATCTGCAAAATAGTTGAATTAATGACACAGATAAAGGTTTAAAGGGTATGATTGTAACCATCACAGAGACACAGTTATAAAGACACAGGTATGTGACTTTTTGAAAGGCCAGGCAGAGAGGAAGAAAAGGTGGTGAGGTAGCTTTGTTGGTTTGGGATGGACTAAGTACAGTCACAACAAATAGAAGCTGCAAAATCCATACGGGGGAGGGAAAGGATTAAACAGGGAAAGAAGACACAAGTGGGAATAGGTTATAGGTCCCCGAGAGAATCCATACAGAGAATAAATCAGGATATCTGCTTTGATTTGATTTATTATCGTCACATGTACCTGACTACAGTGAAAAGTTTGGTTTAGCACGGACTACAGGCAGATTACACCATACAAAGTGCATTAGGGTAATAGAACAGAGTGAGGAATACAATGTTATGGCTGCAGAGAAGGTGCATTAAATTTTAAATTTGAGAGATCCATTCAGAAATCTAATAACAGCAGGGAAGAAGGTGTTCTTGAATCTGTTGGTATGTGTGTTTGAGGTTTTGTATTCTGCCTGACTGAAGAGGTGGAAGAGATTATAACGGGGGTGGGAGAGGTCTTTGTGATGTTGGCTGCCTTTCTGAGGCAGTGATAGGTGGAGATAGAGTCAACAGCTTACGTTATGGACTGGGCTGTCTCAAAAACAGCGCTTCATTAATCATTGGTGAGTTAATCTTCATGTAGATTGAGATAGTCAGATTGGCAGAGGAAGACAAGAGGAAGAATTCATGGATAATTTTGGATCTATAGATCAGTTGCAGATATGGGTGGAGAAATGGCAGACGGAATTTAATCTGGGTAAGTGTGAAGTGCTGCATTTTGGGAGATCAAATGTTAAGGAAAAGTATACCGTTAATGGCAGGACCCTGCACAGCATAGATATACAGAGGGATCTTGGGGCTCATGTCCATAGCTCCCTGAAAGTGGCCACACAAGTAGATAGGGTCGTAAAGAAGATGTATGGCATGCTTGCCTCTATTGATCAAGGCATTGAGTAAAGGAGTCAGGATGTCATTTTGCAGCTTTACAAGACTTTGGTTAGGCCACACTCAGAGTGTTGCGTTCAGTTCTGGTCCCCAAATTACAGGAAGAATGTGGAGGCTTCAGAGAGGGTGCAGGAGAGGTTTACCAGGATACTGCCCAGATTAGAGGGTATGAGCTATAAGGAGAGGCTAGAAAAACTCAGGTTGTTTTCTCTTGAGCAGCAGAGGCTGAGGGGAGCCTTGATAGAAGTTTATAAAATTATGAGATGCATAGACAGTCAGAATCTTTTTCCCAGAGTTGAAATGTCTAATACTAGGGGGCATGCATTTAAGGTTAGAGGGGGGAAAGTTCAAAGGAGACGTGAAGGGTAAGTTTTTTTACACAGAGAGTGGTACATCTCTGGAATGCACTTCCGGGGGTGGGGGTGGAGGCAGGTATGATCGGGGTGTTTAAGGGACTTTTAGATAAACACACGGATATGCAAGGAATGGAGGGATATGGACCAAGGGCAGGCAGAGGATTCGTTTATTTTGGTGTCTCGTTTGGCACAACATCGTGGGCCGAAAGGCCTGTTCCTGTGCTGTATTGTTCTTTGTTCTATGTTTTATGTTCTAACAATGTATTGTGAATCTAACCAGGGATCAGGTTTGTTTGGATCTGGTGATGTGTAATCAGATAGGTTTAGTAAATGGTCTCACAGTAAGAGATCTCCCGGGAAACAGTGATCATAACACGGTAGAGTTTAGCACTCAGTTTGACAGGGAGGAACTTGGGTCTAAATCAACTGTGATAAGCTTAAATAAATTTAAGGGATTGAGAACAGAACTGGCTGGAGTGGACTGGGAAAGGAGTTTAGTAGCAACAGTGACTGAGGAACAATGGCTTACAACAAAGATATATCCGACGGAGGAAGAAGGATTCCAGGAAGGGGTTAAGTCAACCAGTAAGTTAGGAGCATTAAATTGAAAGAAATATGTAAAATGTGGCAGAGATTAATGCTAAGCAAGTGGTAAATGGGAAAGTTTCAGATACCAACAAAAGATAGCCAAAAATAAAGAGGGAGAAACTTTGTGGATAAACCTCCAAGCAATATCAAGAAACACAACAAGAGCTTCTCAAAGTATATAAAAAGGAAGAGAGAAGCCAAAGTGAACAGAGGTCCCTGAGGGAATGAGGCAGGGGAATTAATAATGGCGAAGCAGGAAATGGCAGAGGAGCTGAGTAAATACTTTGTATTGGTCTTCGTAGTAGAAGACACAAATAGCATTCCAAAATTACTAAATATTCCAGGTTTAAAAGGAGGGGAGGAAATAAACCATTACTAGTGAAAAAGATCCCAGGAAACTGGTATAGCTACAAGCTGATAAGTCCCCAGGACTCGATGGGATGCTACCTGGAACTCTAAAGGAAGTAGCTACAGAAGTAGAAGGTGCACTGATGGGAATCTCACAGGAATCCTTAGATTCTGGAATAATCCCTGAGGATTGTGAAATTGCCAAAGTAACACCCTTACTCAAAAAGGGAGGGAGAGAAAAACCAGGTCACTATAGGCCAGCGAGCTTAGTGGCCGAGTCAATGATAAAGGATGCAACAGTAGAGCATTCAAAAATACATCATATGATCAAACAGAGAAAGCACGGCCTCACGAAGGGGAAGCCGTGTCCAACAAATTTACTAGAATTCTATGAGGAGGTAACAAGCAGGATAGATAAAGGGGAGGCAGAGGATGTAACGTATTTAGATTTTCAGAGGTCATGACACAAGTATCACATATTTGGCTACTTAATGGTAGCCCACAGTGTTGGGAGTTGGAACATTAGCATGGATAGAGGATTGGCTAACTCGTAGGAGACAGAGAGCTGGGATAACGGGGACACTTTCAGGCTGGCTACCTGTAACTAGTGGCCTGCTGCAGGGATCAGTGCTGGGACCACAATTATTTACAATATACATTAACGACTTGGATGAGGCTCGTGAATGTACAGTCTCCAAGTTTGTGAAAGGCAAGTGGTGATGATGATGCCAAGACACTGCAGAGGGGTATAGACACGTTAAGAGAATGGGCAAAAACTTGGCAGATGGCATAGAGGAATAGGGGAAATGTGAGGATTTGGCAGGATGGACAGAGAAGCTGAATATTATTTAAATGGAGAAAGACTGCAGAAAGCTGCAGCACAGAGGGATTTAGGAGTCCTTGTGTATAAATCAAAATATGGAACAGAATTTTGTAAAATATTTCTTATAAAAATAGAGACTGCAATTCACAGCCCAGTGAGCTGATTTGGTGGATGCATGTTACAGAGAATTGGAGCTACACTGAACACGAACCAGACCATCATTCAGCTTGGCTCAGCTGTTGGGTATGGAATATTATTTTGATTAATTCATTCATGGGATGTGGGAGTCACTGGCTGGGCCCAGCATTTATTGCCCCGTCCCTAGTTGCCCCCCTTGAGAAGGTGGGGGTGAGCTGCCTTCTTGAACCCCTGCAGTCCATGTGCTGTGGGTTGACCCACAAAGTCCCTCAGGGAGGGAATTCCAGGGATTCTGACCCAGCGACACTGACGGAACGGCGATATATTTCCAAGTCAGGATGGGGAGTGGCTCGGAGGGGAACGTGCAGGAGGTGGTGTTCGCATGTACCTGCTGTCCCTTGTCCTTCTGGATGGAAGTGGTCGTGGGTTTGGAAGGTGCTGTCTGAGGGTATTTGGTGAATTTCTGCAGAGCATCTTGTAGATGGTACACACTGCTGTTACTGAGGGTCGGTGGGGGGAGGGAGTGGGATGTTTGTGGATGTGGTGCCAATCAAGCGGGGGCTGCTTTGTCCTGGATGGTGTCGAGCTTCTTGAGTGTTGTCGGAGCTGCCCCCATCCAGGGCAAGTGGGGAGTATTCCATCACCCTCCTGCCTTGTGCCTTGTAGATGGTGGGACAGGCTTTGGGGGGGGATGGGGGGGAGGAGTCAGGAAGGGAGTTACTTTCAACCCAAAGATGTGAACAAATGAATATCAACAGTTTCGCTCCTGGCACGTGCCTGATAGCGGGTCGTGGTCATTGGGGCTTGGTGGCGCTGTGACCGGGGATTGGTCCAGGAACACGACGCTGCCCGAGGATGCGGATCTTGATTTGAGGATCGTCGAGGTCTTGAGGGCATTTTGAAAATTCTCGCCAGCAAAGTAGTATAGGAGGGGGTTGAGGCAGCTGTTGGCTGCAGCCAGGCAGATGGTCACCACGATAGCTCTCTGCAAAAACCAGGCAGTGGCACCGCAGCCCCCCTGCACCATGAAATGGAGGTGAACAGTCCGTATGACATGGTACGGCAGGAAGCAGAAGAGGAAGGAGGACAGCACGATGATGATCATGTACATGGACTTCCTACGGCTACGTCCATTCGTCCGCATTGTGCTGGCCAAGCCCATCAGGCGGTGGATAATGCGAACGTAGCAAACGAGGATGGTGAGGAATGGGATGAGGAAACCAACCACAAACGCAAAATAGTTCATCTTCTGGATCTGGGACCATGACATGTTTGATGGCTCAAAGCAGCGGCAGGTCCCGTTCTCGCACTTGGAGGCTGCCAGGAGGAAGGGGACAGAGACCAAGCCGACAAAGATCCAGATCCCGAGGGAGACCCACAGGGATCTCCTCACGGTGACTGTGCTCCGGGACCAAATCGGGTGCAGGATGGCGATGTAACGGAAGATGCTGAGGGCCATCAGGAAGAAGATGCTGGAGTAGAGGTTCACGTAGAAGGCATAGGTGGTGATCCTGCAGAGGAAGGAGCCGAGGTTCCAGTCATGTTGGACGTAGTAGGTAATTCGATATGGTAACGTCAGAGTGAAAAACAGGTCCGAAATGGCCAGGTTGATCATGAAGACTGTGCTCGCTGTTTTGTGCTGAGTCAACTTCAAAAAGACGTACAGGGCCACAGTGTTCCCGATGAGGCCGAGGATCAGAATGACGCTGTATGCTCGCACAAACACAGGGAACTTAAACTCGTTGTCGCTGCAGTTGAGGTTCTTGTTAGTCCAGTCCATTCTGGGTTGCTGGCTATTTGCTACAGGAAGGGTGGCACAGTTGACTGCAACAAAGAAACAAAGGTTACAATCATGGTAAAGGCTTGTGCTGTTTGGGAACCATCAGCCGAAAGGTGGAAGGGTTGCTTGGAAAACCCCATGGATCTACAAGGATAGCCGGAAGCCTTGAAGGGGAGGAGCTGGATGGCTCTTGTGAGCTGCGTTTGTGCGGCTGTGGCTCCCAGCGACGTGCAGACGAACTGGCACCGAGGGCTCGTTTCTAAATAAAGACGATTAGTAGCTGCTGGCGGCCTATTATCAACAACAAATCCTCTGCCTGTAGTGACATGGCATTTAGGAAAACGGTCAGGCCACTGATTTGGCAAAAGACGCAGAGTAAGTTGTTGGATAAAACACAGCATTTTTGTGCTTCACATAGGAGATTTCTTGGGATGACATCAGTGTATCCTCAGAATCCATGGATACAACGACCCAATTCCCAGAAGTTATTCCTTTAAGGACGAGGGAGTACAGACCAGTGAGATGGGAGGGAAACTATTGTGAAACAGTTCTGAGGGATTGAATTAATTGTCATTAATTGTCACTTGGAGTTGGGGGGGAGGATTAATCAGGAATAGCCATTGTGGCTTTAACAGGGGGAGATCCTGACCAACATAACTGACTGAGTTTCTTGAGAAGGGAACTGGGTATGATCATGAGGGAAGTGCAGCGGATGTAGCGTTCATGGACTTCAGGAAGGCTCTCACTCAGCAGAAGCTGTGACCCCCCTGGGATCCAGGGCCTCGCTGGCTCTCGGTGGCAGCAAACAGTATCTGTCTGACTGGAAACCTGGGTCCAGGAGTGTACCACCGGGTCGGTGCTGGGTCCGGGAGGGTACCACAGGCCTCAGTGCTGGGCCCGGGAGTGTACCACAGGGTCGGTGCTGGGTCCGGGAGGGTACCACAGGGTCAGTGCTGGGTCCGGGAGAGTACCACAGGGCCGGTGGAGGGGCCGGGGCGGGACCACCAGCCTCCGG